TCGAATATCAGTTCCTTAGTAATAAAATAAGGACTACACCTCGAAACCAATGTCAATCACACGTTCGAGGCTTGAGCTCGAAAAATCACTAACGAAATCTGAACTGTATCCACAGTTGCTTCTTTTTCCCCTATCAAGAGGAAGAATAATTACCAGACGATGGACCGCACTGTAGTTTTTTACCTAACGAATTCTTCGTAAAAAAGGTAGTTTGCAAGACTGGACGAATCACTAGACACTGCGAATCAGACTAGGCTGCGAATCAACGAGTCCTGGCGGAATCCCCTAGGCTCTTCTCACAACCACGATTCTCTCTCGTTTCCTTCTTTTCTATTTTTTTTTTTTTTTTTTCGTACAAGACTTTCTCTCGGTACTTTAAATCTCTTCTATACGCCTTTATACTTCTCTATGTACTTTGTGCGCCTCCCTTTTCGCTTTTCTTTTCGTTCAGTTTTCGAAGTGTCGACGTTAATGTTGTGCCGTGTAATCAAAAAGAGAGAAAAAAAGCGGATGATCAGATGAACACCGACGTTCTGCACTTACGTTAGAGAGCCGTTCTGTCAGGGAAACGAGCGGGGGCTCCCAATATAAGCGCGTGCAACGTGATCCTAGAATATAACGAGCTCAACGATTGGTTACTGTTCTTGGCCAATAAGAGACCGCGTTAGTTCCTGGGCCAATCTACCTTTTTAGGTGGAGATGATACCAAAAGTGTGACAAGGGGTGGCCACGGAAAGCTACAACCGCCTCGATCGGTTGAGTGAGATGAAAATAGATGTTGAAGAGAGACAGGGAATTACCTTCAGCGGGCTCATTTTCTGCCACCTCCATTTTTCTTCTTGCACTTCAACCCTGTCTTCCATTTCGCCCCTAAATCCAGATCCTATTCCGTGCAAAAGTATCCGCTCGATAAGGAATTACTTTAAATCGAACAACTTTCATCCTCGAATCTAGCTCCGAGCTACCGCAGCTGGATGCCGAGTTTTTCATATACTACATCAAGATCATTGGTACACGTGGAACACGCACGTGCTCGATAATAGCTACTGTAGACAGATTCGACGAATAAATTACGCCGGCTCTGCCGTTCGCTGATAATCCGGCGAAAAAGGAAGGAAGAAGAAAGCGAAGCTTCGCCAATTTTTCGGCTGATGATTCCAACGTGTTTCAATACATAACCTGAGGAACAGTAGAAATATTAATTTAGAAGTAGAAACTTTTACACGTTAAGATGTACACAATATCGAGCATTAACAAAACACAAATAAATCTTTCCTACCATACCCTTTATGACTTTCCCAAAACTCGAATATTTTAGCACAAAGTACCAAATATTAGTTACATTTCAGAGAAACTGTTAATTTAAAATGTACTCCGCCCTTTGCACGTTCACATTTGAAAATAAAATAACGTTGTAATAAATCAGCAGCTTCTAGAGAATTTGAGACGCAAATAGGAAATCTGAATTCGATTAAAATTTCATAACATAAGTTATACTTTGCATTATTATAATTACAAACGAAATTGCAATTTCAATTTCAATTTTGTGATATTATTTACACTTGTTAGAATTTTTATGTTGATATAACACCAACTCCAAGTTGTAATCACGACAGTTTTCTTTCAAAAATAGTACATATTAATCGATCATTGAATGTTTCTTTCAGTTCACAAGGTGTGTAATCGCGACGTCATTTATTGTGTATACATCTAAATGGAATATTGTTTCTGTTGAATTTCAACAAATTATATTTCTAATTATAGTTCAAACTATATTCTAATTAACCTAGAATTTGCAAACGGAATCTGTCGTTCATTGTTCTGTTGCTTTTCTTGAAATGTATTATATCATTGCAAAAATACAAACTTGATTTATTTAAAAGAAGAATTGTTTCATTAATATGAATAACGTAAAAATACAACTTAGAGTTATGTAATACAGTCAACTCTCTTATAACGTGGTGCAAAAATTGCGAAAAATCCTTTAACACGATATTCTTTTCAACGGTTTCCATATAGCACGGCTTCATAAACTTGGGCAACTCTGATATAGCACGAATGTTTCGAGTATGCATTCTTATACTGTTTCATTTAAGAACATTTCTGACTCTCGCCAATTCTCGAGCACACGCACTCCGAGAACACTGTTTCGATATAACGCGGAACAAATTCCCCTGGTTTGCATTTGTTCTAAGTTTCGGTGCTCTTTGCTCTTCATTCCCCTAATTTCTATTAACTTATGGTTTCGCTTAACACGTCTTCGATACAACACGAAACGAATTGAGCATACTGTAGAAGGGTTGAGCTTCAAATTCTAAAAAAGAGCTTACTATTCTCGTGCTCATTAGATTCGAAAGAGAAGTACATGTACATAGTGAGTGCAGGTATCGAAGAAAGTGAAATAGGTGCATCACCGAAATAAAACGAAGTTTATTTTTTCGTTTTCTTTCATTATTGCAGACTTCGAAATAAAGTAACAGAAAAATGTATGTACTAACACCTAAAGCAATCTTTCGTATACCCGTGTTAAATCAAAGTTAGCAGTATATTTCGTATGGATAAACATTCTTTGCAAATTCTTAAAATTACGATCAACCTGTATTGAAATTTTATGTATCACGTTACACTTAATATTTCATATACACTATACCTGTCATGTCAGTTATAAAAACATTGAAATAGTACAATTGTTGTAGTTGATGAAATTAGTAAAGTCGTTGTTTAGATATAAAAATATTAAATACTTTCAATTAATTTGCCGTACCTTGTTATTTTCTTTTCTTCTGTAACTCGGTTCCTTTTACCTTTCCTTCGGTACAGACGATCTATTATTATCGACTTCGAAACAAAATATTTATACATATATAGAAAGAATTTTGAAATAATGAAATATACAGCAATCGGGATAAATTTGAAAGGTTTTAGCCTTCTGGAACTACAAATACTTAAACTATTGTATAAACAATAATTCAACGTGTACTCATTTTTAAATTAATTTACCATTCAAGTTCGTTCTAAGAATGCTGCTTTTAATTCTTTTTATTTTACTGCATAAATAAAAATGGAGCGAAATGTAATCGATTGATCCAAACATTGTCACAGTTGTGGCTAATGGTAAAATATATCTGCGAAGATTTGTCGACTAAATATCTATCTATACTACTAGACGTACAACGTGCATAATAATATTAACGAAATGTCACATGATTAATTAATACGCACTTATATTATTATAAGTACAATTTTCGTTATTTGTCATCCTATTATTTTAAATATTTATACACATTTTTAATCATATTACGTAACGAGTATTGGTAGAATTGCAAAAGATATACTAATGTAGGTGTAAATTAAGGGGATTTCGTGTTTACAATCCTGTAAGATTGAAAGCATGGGATCTTTTTTTATAACGAGTGTTTCGAAAGCTCAATGGATAATTGCTAGCTATTTGGTCGTATGCATTTGGTTCAAACACCTAGTATCCACCTACTATCGAAAATCAGAGGACATACATACGTGTAACATCTCACGATATTTGACGACTTGCCACCAGAAATATTTCGCGTTCCTGAATAATTGGCGTGATATTATCGTTTGCATTTTCAGTGACTTGAATACTGGCAAGCTGCTCGTACCTTTTCCACTAGAGAAAGGTCATTTCGCGCCTATTTCTGCATGCTAAATATTATACACAATTTTCATTCCTTTTTTCATGTTCGTGCGTGTTTTATATTGGCACAATATTGACAATTACGTAAAGTTAGTGCAACAGCGTTAAAACTGAAACAGCTTCCGTACGTATTTTCAGCATCACTTCAATTTTCAGAATTCATATTTTTAAGAAAGGGGATTCGAGAAGAAGGATCCGTTGTTATTTTCATGGTACGTATCACTACTGTTGCAAAATAGATCAAAGTGAGATGTACCAATTTTTATTGCCGTATTGTTGTATATTTTTGTGGAGTTTTCAAATTTCTAGAAACTATATATGAAATGATAGAAGAACTGGAAGACATCAGCATACTCTTTATTTTTCTTTAATTAGATATTTCAATTGAAGCTTTTCAGTGTAGATGCTTTCAGAACGTTCATTTTCCCTTGGGCACAGAACGTTGTCATTGAACGAGCCATTGAAAACGCGTAAATATATAAATAATCTGACAAACCAGGAGCATACTGCTTTCTAAAATGCTTAAATTGTCACAGAAACCGCCATCTTAGTGTAAACTTTTCAACTAAGGCGCTTGGAGCGAAATGTTAAGAAGAGACGCATTTACCACGGATTTCTTGTCACAATTAAGAAAAATACTTATCCACGCGAAATCAAGGCGAGTGGATACACGTAGGTAATTTGACGATGCAGGCAGTATTTTACACTTAACTTTTTACCTAACCCAGTAACGTTTGACTGATGTGTTAACCATATTTAGGCGTTAGTATCCACAAAGATAGGCACCCACCTATTGTCGTCTACAAATAGCTGATACTTTTTCTTTTCAAAAATGATTTTATTACATATCACAAAGCAACATAGGATGTAATTATTTTTTCATTTATGTGGGTTATTTTCGTGATCCGGATTTGTATTATTACTTACACAATTTCACATAGCATTAGCTCTCATAAGACTTGAGTACATTTGAAACTAAGTGGATAATAAAAGTGTTTAAAAATACCTGGAATGACTGACGCGTCTGTCATCTGCCTAATGGAAATCAATCCAAACATGATCTTTATAGTACTGTTTTGAATTAATATTGTATTTTAGTAATTTATAAATGTTGGAAAATATTGCAGTGGTACTAATTTAAAAGGCTGTTTGGACTCATTTCCGTCAGGAAGATCTGGCCAGTTCACTAAAACCTTTTTTAACGAGATTAAATAATTATAAATATTGAATTTTTCATAAATTCCAGCGATATCTCATCGTCCGATTATTTCGAACCTTGGCAGTCGAAATATTTGCTACTTCGTTTAATCTCATTCTCCGTCCGCTTCATCAGTATTTCTGAGTGTCGGCTGTCATACGCTGAGTTTGAACAATTTCTGAAAGAGGAAACCAGATCAATGTTTAGATAAATTCTAACGCATTACTGTTTTTAAAACTATACGGAAGAATGAAGCAAACGCGAAATGAAAAGTACGTGGGTCATTTGAAAAGTTCTCGGAATGGAATGGAAAGACAGATTATATAGTTTCTATATTTCAATATAATTCACTTTAACATGAATCCACTTGGACCAACGATGTACCAAAACTACTGTACTATCACGAAACTCTGGTTCGTCAAGGCTTCCAAAATATTCATCAATGGCGTCCTTAAATTCCT